TGTGTGTGTGTGTGTGTGTGTGTGTGTGTGTGTGTGTGTGTGTGTGTGTATACACCACATCTTCTTTATCCATTCATCTGTCGATGGACATTTAGGCTCTTTCCATAGTTTGGCTATTGTGGACATTGCTGCTATAAACATCGGGGTGCACATGCCCCTTTGGATCACTACATTTGTATCTTTGGGGTGAATACCCAGTAGTGCAATTGCCGGGTTGTAGGGTAGCTCTATTTTCAACTTTTTGAGGAACCCCCATACTGTTTTCCAGAGTGGCTGCACCAGCTTGCAGTCCCACCAACAGTGTAGGAGGGTTCCCCCTTCTCTGCATCCCCAGCCAACATCTGTCGTTTCCTGACTTGATAATTTTAGCCATCTGACTGGTGTGAGGTGGTATCTCATTGAGGTTTTGATTTGGATTTCCCTGATGCCAAGTGATGTTGAGCACTTTTTCTTTTGTCTGTTGGCCATTTGGATGTCTTCTTTGCAGAAATATCTGTTCATTTAACCACTCTACTTTTTTTGTCCCATGTGATACAGTTAAAAACTAAGTCTCTATCCTCCAGTGTCCCAGAATGATTGATTTGCCAGAGTCCCCTGCCAGGCTACATTTGACATGGTGTGTGAATAAAAAATAAACTTTTGTTATATAAAAAATTACATATTTTAAAAATATTTAATTTTTTTTGTAGACTTCCATTCTTCAGGGAATCAATACTATTAGCAAGTGTTTTTAATGAGGAATAAGCAAACATTTTAAGATTCATTTTATTAACATTAAATTTACAAATGTTTAAGTTATTAATATGAATTGTAATTGAAAATTTCACTCGCGTTGTTATTTTTTTGGTCTTTGATTTGGTGATTCTAAAGCATGATAACCTAAGCCTCCATAGTATCATTCTCGCTCATGTGCAGACATGTGAATGTATAGCTTATAATTTCTTCATCGATCCATGCTTTAATCCTTAATAAAAATGTACTTATGATAAAATGAAAAAGATATTAGAATTATAAGATCATACTAATATAATAATTCAAAACCACTTTAGTGAGAATATAGCTGCTGTATGGCTTTCCTCCTCTGGATTTCCAGAACATCAAGTGAGTTGGAAAAAAAAAACTCACTTCGAGAGCTGATATGACACTGATTGGTGAATTATTGGATTATCCCAGCATTGCGTCATGGGTAATGGCTGTGGTAAAATATGGGTTATAAGTTACGTGCAGTTCTTAATTTAGCTACAAGTCCATCTTTATCTCCCATTCAGGGAAGGCTGATGCAGTGTAAGTGAGTGAAAATTACATTATTTGGGGGATTACTTTGCAGTCATTAAAATTTATATATTAAAAATGAAGTAATTCATAAACTCTTTAAAATGAATTCCTTACTGTAACATCTCAAGTGAGACCCATTGGAGAAGATCTCCTTGTATGTCTCTCTTGACCCAAATGGCTCTGGAATTCTAATGCAGTTTCTACCTTGAATTCTAGCACAGAGCCTACAACATAGCAGGTACTTAAAAGTGTTTATTGAATTGACTGGAATCAAAACTCTTTTGCTTCTTGTCTCTGTTCTGGTCTCTCTCTGGCCTTACTGGCAGATCTCAGTCCAATCAAGGCTATTCTTACAAGCAATTAGCAACAAATATATCCCTGTTGTCTAATTCATTAGCAACAAATATATCCCTATTGTCTAATTCATTGGCTGGAGTGAGTGGAACAGTGCTTAAGTGGGGAAAGGTGTGAGACTGATGGCAAATGAAGTGTGTGTATTTCCCAAGCAAACCTGGGTACAAATATTTGTGAGTGACTGAAAGAAGAAATAATGAAGATAGTCTTTTCTCTTTGGGAAAAAAATGTACCAAAAATAAAAAAATATATATATATGTACATAATCACACATAGGCACATATATAATTATGTATGTGATAGACCCTTGCCATGCAGTGTTGTATGAGTGATGGGCATCACCTGGAATCTTGTTGGAAATGCAAAATCTCAGGTCTTACCTCAGTATTTTAACGATTGCCAAGTGATTGATCATGCACAAAAATGTTTGAGAGTCACTGCTAAGGGCAATGTGTGTGATGTGTGATGTTTCATTGATTTAAAAAAAAATTTTGTTATGATCATCAGTCTCACTAAGAGATTGGAACTTAATTATTCCAGTTGTTAAAAATAAGGGATAATTTTGTAATGTGATAGAGGTACTAATTATTGCTACAGTGACAATCTTACTACAATATGTAAATGTTGAACACCTTAAATTTACAAAATGTCAAATGTATGTTAATAAAACGGGAAAAAAAGAATTTTACCTATCAAGATTTACTTTTCAATTTGTAAAGTAACCCAAATGTTTATCCTGCTTTCCTTCTCATCATCTCATTGCTTAAAATTAGGATTGCTGTCTTCCCTGGATTTCGAGCTGTCCCATGAATCAGAAAAAAAACTCATTTTAAAAGCTGATATGACTGATTAGGGAATTATTGTGGATTATGCCAATATTGTTCCCTGGGTTAAAATTTGTTTTCTTTTTTTTTTTTTTAAAGGAGAACTGTGTAAGATATTTGACAGCCAGGCTTGCTGTATTTCTGAATTAAGATAGTTTCTTCTAGAAGATAGAATTTGGTATTGGAAGTGATCCAGGAGGCTAGCTTAGCAAGTACAGATTTAGTGATTTTTTTTTTCGTAATTGGAAGGAAGGAGTCTCATATCATCAATATAATTCTTCTTTTGCAGATAGGGAAACTGAAGGTTGTCAAGCGACTTGTTCATGATCATGTAACAGGACAGTAGTAATCAGAGAGTAGTAGCATCCCTGTCTTAGCTCCCAGCCCCGTATGTTCTTCTATTCACGTTATTTAAGTGAAAGATTATTGCAGGTGTACCACGTAGCCAGGAAAAAACAAGTGAAACAGACTGTGTGTGTCATCTTTGGTTATATTTGTATATTTTGAGATTCCTTGGCCTACCTTTCTCCTAGGCTTTCCCATTTCAGAAAGTTGTATTACCAGTTTTACCCAGTTCTGCTGATTAAAGGGAGGGACATTTCTTGATTTCTTTCTTCATTGTCCTTGTCTCACAACATCCTTGTCAGGTTTGTCTTCAAAGTACATCCCTGAATCTGCCCATTTCTTATAATGTCCACCACTAACATCCTCATTCAAGCCATCCTTATCTCTTCGCTGGAGATGTCTGTACTATTCTCCCAGCCAGCTTCTCTACTCCCACTCTTCTCTCACTGCATCAGCTAGATTCATCTTTTAAAAATGTAAGTTAAAAAAAAAAAATGTAAGTCAGGTGTGTTACCTCCCTGTTCAAAACCCATCAGTAGCTTTCAGTTACTCTTAGGATAAAATCCAAATGGCCTTATGATGGCCTATACGGTTTTACAATGATCTGACTTCTGACTGCCTTTCCGCCCTCTTCCACTCATCACTCATGTGCTCATTTCTACTTCTGTTCTTGCTATTTCTTGAATGTTCCAAATGTGTTCTACGTCAAAGGCTTTGCACTTAGTGTTCTTTTCTCTGGGACTCTACATTCTTATGGCTCTCTCCCTTATTTATTCTGTTCAAACATGAACTTTATCAGATAGGCTTCCTTCTTATTGCTCCTTTTACTCCCTCTTCACCTGCTTTTTCTTTTTTCAGAGTATTTATGAAGACATTCTATTATGTTCTTTACCTCCCCCACTTAAACTTAAGTTTCTTAGGTCAGGGATCTCTCCCACTTTGCATATTCCCAGCATGTGAATAATTCCTGGCATATGATGCTGAAAGAGTGTAGAATAAATTAATATACTTTTAAAAATAAAAAATAGAAATTATAGAAGAATGTCTCATAATTGAAACACTTTTTCTTTTTAATCCTACATGTCAAAAATAGCTCAGACTTTTATTGACATAATCATTCTTTTGTAGTCATGGCTATACTTAGAAATGATAACAAAATTTTTAAACTTTAAGACTTAGTATCCCTGTCTGTAACTCTCTTACTTTATCTCATGTATGACATGTGAAAATAAATAATAGCCTGCAATAATAATTTTTAAACTTCTTTAGTAGGTAGATGATAGTTAAATTCCTAGAGCAGAGATGTGCCTTGTTGAGTTACATTGAAATACATATATTTGTAAATGTAATGTAATTTTGGTTCATTGAAGTACATTAAAACTTCAATGTTTTAAAACATAAACTGCTGGTCATTCTCCTTTTTCCCTTTTATGCATGTTTCTCTTTGGCAAGGTGGGAGCAGTGTCTCCAGAACGTTGCATGCTTTGGGAATTTCTATTTATGTATTAACAGAGTGTTGATTTCTTTAGTTTGATGGTGATCATGTTTGTTGGGTGGAAATGAATTAACAGTGTTTTATTTTGGGGCGCCTGGGTGGCTCAGTTGGTTAAGCGTCTGCCTTTGGCTCAGGTCATGATCCCGGGGTCCTGGGATCAAGCCCCGCATCGGGCTCCCTGCTCAGCAGGGAGCCTGCTTCTCCCTCTGCCTCCGTCACTCCTCCTGCTTGTGCTCTCTCTCTTTCCCTCTCTCTCTCGCTCTCAAATTAATAAAATATAAAAAAAACAAACAATGTTTTAATTTGTTCTGCTACTGACTATTCTTTGGGAACTAGTTTACATTTTTAGTAGGAATACTCACAATCAAGTACAATTTCAAGATGAGGCAGTTTGATTTAATGAGGTTGTAGACATAAAACTCTTTGTGAATAGTGGTCATATTGATAATCTTGCTGTTCTTCATTTTGAATATGTATTTTTTTCATTTGGAATATTTTTAAGAGTGAAAGCATGCACCATTTTATTAACTGTATTCCTAAGAGCTGCAAAAGTATTTTCTTTTAATGGGATACATACATACATTTTATAATTTTAATATATAGAAATGTTAGACTTCTGTACTTAGATGATTTATTTCCTTACTACCTATCAGGCTGGCCCAGAATGCCTTCAGTGTGAAGAAGGGTGCTCTAAATCACGGCCTCTGGGTTGTCCCCATCCATGTGTTTTGCCGTGTCATCCTGGAGAATGTCCTCCTTGTGTTCAGATGCTTAGAATAAAATGTCACTGCAAGATCACAAGCCTATATGTGGAATGTAGGTAAGTGGACTGAAGAAATATTCTTGTTTTACTATAATTATTTTTAACTAGTATCTTTTTATAATTCAGAACCCTATAAACCAGTACTTCAAGGAACATTATTCAGTGTCGCCCGTAGATGCTAGAAGACTAGATTTTCCAGTAGGGACCTGAAGAAAGAAATGTAGAATATTTCACCTTGTAAATACAATTCAAAGACAATACAATTCAAAGACAATTATGTTTTTTTTTCCATTTGGGGATTCTGTATAAGATTTTTTAAGGAAAAAGGTTGTATCGCTGCTTTAAAAAATATAGAAACATTCCTATAGCAGATTGCTCAAATAACAGGGTCAAACTAGAATTTTGTTGGATGAAAAATTGAAGTGCACATAGTTACTGAGGTATAATTTTTAAATTACAGACCTTTATTACAGATGTAGCTATTGCATTTGTCATAGTAGGCTGTGACTTCTATATTTCCTTTACTTAAAAAATATGTACACTTAATAAAATGCATGTTTTTGCTTGTGGGTTATGTGGAGGGGAAAAAAATTCCCACTTTTTTCTACTTAATCACAATCTAACATAATTTACTAACTTGTTCCGCTTCATTCACCCAAGTTTGTAAAGTGGGCTCTTTGTAAGTGTATTTTATTGAAGTTAAATTTGGGAATATGACTTTGTTTCTGATTTTTTGAACATAAGTACTTTTTGAAAAATGCCTGTTAATATTAAATTTGCTTAAAGATTTTATTTATTTATTTGACAGAGAGTGAGCGAGAGAGAGAGCACGTGAGGGGGGAGGGTCAGAGGGAGAAGCAGTCTCCCCACTGAGCAGGGAGCCCGATGTGGGACTTGATTCTGGGACTATGATCTGAGTTGAAGGTAGTCACTTAACCAACTGAGCCACCCAGGCACCTTAAATTTGTTTTTGTCACTTATACTCTAGGCTCATGTTTTCTTAAATTGGAAAAGTCAAATTTTATTCTTTTTAAATATGAAAATTGTTTTGTTGAAATTTTAAGAATAAAATATTACTTTAGCTTTAGAAGTTTTATAGGGAAAGTGAAGATGGCAATTTTGCTTTATTAATGAGGGATACTGAGGAAAGAGATTTTCTTTGGTCTTGCAGGGCCTGAATTTCCCTTTCTTACTTCTTTTTCCCTTTGTCATACAGTCTCCAAAGGGTGACTTTACTTTTTTACCTTCTTGTCCAGAGTGTTGCCTTTCCAAGATTGGCTCCTTGATTCTTGTGCACTTTTTAAAGTTTCTTCCCATAGTTAGTGCTGTGATCTACCAAGATTTGTCACATCTGGGTGGACTTTCTCTTTTTGGTGTGATGTTAGCTCAGTTACCCTTTTCTCTTTCCTGCTCAGTTTTTCCGGAACTCTCCTGGTTCTCTGAAATGATTTGCTGAGGGAGCTTGAGAAATAGCTCTGCTATGAATTGGAATTTATTTTTCTACTTATAGGTAATTTTGAAATTTGTAGAAATTTGTATCTTCTAGTTATTTGGAAGTAATGGGATTTGAGTGATTTTATTAATGAGCTGAATGATTTTTAGGGGGGATGTGTGGATATATATGGATTGAGATGGCTTCCATTACTACAGTTGTCTGGAGTTCCTTTTTCCTTTCCTTGAATACATATTTGAAGTGTGTGTTTTTCAGCAGAATACACATTCTTTTCAAGTGTACATGGAACATTCTCCAGAATAGATCACACTTTAGGTTACAAAAGAGGCCTCAACAAATACAAAAAGATTAAAGCCATACCATGCACCTTTTCTGACCACAACACTATGAAACTAGAAGTAAACCACAAGAAAAAATCTGGGGGGGCGCCTGGGCGGCTCAGTGGGTTAGGCGACTGCCTTCGGCTCAGGTCATGATCCTGGAGTTCCAGGATCAAGTCCCGCATCGGGCTCCCTGCTCAGCAGGGAGTCTGCTTCTCCCTCTGACCCTCCCCCCTCTCATGTGCTCTCTCTCTGTCTCATTCTCTCTCAAATAAATGAATAAAATCTTAAAAAAAAAAAAAATCTGGAAAAACCACAAATACGTGGAGGTTAAAGAACATGCTACTAAGCAATGAATGGACCAACCAGGAAACCAAAGAAGAAATAAAGAAAAAAATACATGGAAACAAATGAAAATGAAAACACAATGGTCCAAAACCTTTGGGATGCAGCAAAAATGGTCCTAAAAGGGAAGAATAGAGCAATACAGGCCTACCTCAGGAAGCAAGAAAAATCTCAAATAAACAACCTAACCTTACACCTAAAGGAATTAGAAAAAGAGCAACACATGAAGCCTAAAGCTAGCAGAAGGAAGGAAATAATAGAAATAAATGATATAGAAAAGAAAATAGAACAGATCAATGAAACAAGGAGCTGGTTCCTTGAAAAAAATTAATAAAATTGATAAACCTCTAGCCAGACTTATCAAAAAGAAAAGAGAGAGGACCCAAATAAATAAAATCACAAATGAGAAGAAATAACATCCAGTATCATAGAAATACAAACAATTAGAGTATCATGAAAAACTACGCCAACAAAATGAACAAACTAGGAGAAATGAATACATTCTTAGAAACATACAAACTATGAAAACTGAAACAGGAAGAAATAGAAAACTTGAACATACGGGTAACCAGCAAAGAAATTGAATCAGTAATTGAAAAACTCCCAACAAACAAAAGTACAGGACCAGATGGCTTCACAGGAGAATTCTACCAAACATTTAGAGAAGAGTTAACAACTGTTCTTCTCAAACTATTCCAAAAAATAGAAAAAGGAAGGAAACTTTTAAATTCATTCTATGAGGCCAGCATTACCCTGATGTCAAAACCAGGTAAAGATATCACTAAAAAAGAGAACTACAGGCCAATATTCCTGATGAACATAGATGCAGAAATTCTCAACAAAATACTAGCAAACTGAATCCAGCATTAAAAAAAAAAAATCATTTGCTGTGACCAAGTGGGATTAAATCCTGGGCAGCAAGCGTGGTTCAATATTCACAAATCAGTGTGATATATCACATTAATAGGAGAAAGGATTAAAACCATATGATCCTTTTGATAGGTGCAAAAAAAGCATTTGACAAAGTACAACATCCATTCATAATAAAATCCCTCAACGAAGTAGACTTAGAGGGAACATACCTCAATGTGATAAAGGCCATGTATGAAAAGCCCACAGCTGATATCATCCTCATTGGGGAGAAACTGAGAACTTTTCCTCTATGATCAGGAACAAGACAGGGATGGCCATTCTCACTTTTATTCAAAATAGTACTGGAACTCCTAGCCACAGCAATCAGACAACAAAAAGAAATAAAAGGCATCCAAACTGGCAAGGAAGAAGTCAGACTTTCACTATTTGCAGATGGCATATGGTACTCTATAGAGAGAGCCCAAAAGGCTCTACTCAAAAGGCTGCTAGAACTGATAAATGAATTCAGTAAAGTCAAGGATACAAAAATATACAGAAATCTGTTAGCATTTCTATATACCAATAATGCAGCAGAAAGAGAAACCAAGGAATCAGTCCCATTTACAACTGTACCAAAACCCATAAGATACCTAGGAATAAACCTAACCAAAGAGGTGAAAGACCTGTACTCTGAAAACTATAAAACACTGATGAAAGAAATTGAAGATGACACAAAGAAACAGACATCCCATGCTCATGTATTAGAAGAACAAATATTATTAAAATGCCTATATTACCCAAAGCAGTCTGCACATTTAATGCAGTCCCTATCAAAATACCACCAGCATTTTTCACAGAGCTAGAACACTCAATCCTAAAATTTGTATGGAACTACAGAGGACCCCCAATAGCCAAAGCAGCCTTGAAAAAGAAAAGTAAAGCTGGAGGCATCACAATTCCAGACTTCGAGTTATATTACAAAGCTGTGGTAATCAAAACAGTATGGTACTAGCACAAAAATAGACACATATGTCAGGGGAACAGGATAGAAAACCCAGAAATGAACCTACAAATATATGGGAAGTTAATCTTCTACAGAGCAGGAAAGACTATCTAATGGAAAAAAGACAATCTCTTCAACAAATGGTGTTGGAAAAACTGGACAGCAACATGCAAAAGAATGAAATGGGACCACTTTCTCACACCATACACAAAAATAAATTCAAAATGGATTGAAGATCTAAATATGAGTCAGGAAACCGTTAAAATCTTTGAAGAGAACACAGGTGGTAACTTCTTTGACATTGGCAATAGCAACTTCTTACTAGATGTCTCCTGAGGCAAAGGAAACAAAACCAAACAAACTATTGGGACTTCATCAAAGTAAAAAGCTCTGCACAGCAAAGGAAACAATCAATAAAACTAAAAGGCAGCCTATGGAATGGGAGAAAATATTTGCAAATGACATATCTGAAAAAGGGTTACTATCCAAAATATGTAGAGAACTTATAAAACTCAACATCCAAAAAATGGATAATTGAAATACAAAATGGGCCAAAGTCATGAGTAGATATTTTTCCAAAGAATACCTACAGATGGCCAACAGACACATGAAAAGATGCTCAACATCACTCTCCTCAGGGAGAGGCATACCAAACTATAATACAATAACTATAATGAGATATCACCACACCCTGTCAGAATGGCTAAAGTCAATAACACAAGAAACAACAGTTGTTGGTGAGGATGTAGAGAAAGGGGAACCCTCTTGCACTGTTGGTGGGAATGCAGGCTGGTGCAGCCACTTTGGAACACAGTACAGAGTATCCTCAAAACATTAAAAATAGAACTACCCTATGATCCTGCTATTGCACTACTAGGTATTTACCCAAAGAATACAAAAATACTAATTTGAAGACATACATGCACCCTGATGTTTATAGCAGTTCTATAATAGCTAAATTATAGAAACAGCCCAAATGTCAATCAACTGATGAATGGGTGAAGATGTATATGTATATACAATGGAATATTACTGAGCCATAAAAAAGAAAGAAATCTTGCCATTTGCAATGACATGGATGGGGATAGAGAGTATTATGCAAAGTGAGATAAGTCAGTCAAAGACAAATACGATGATTTCACTCACATATGGAATTTAAGATAGAAAACAAGCAAAGGGGAAAAAAAAAAGTGAGTGGTAAACCAAGAAACAGACTCTTAACTATAGAGAACAAACTGATGGTTACTAAAGGGAAGTGGGTGGGGAGATGGGTGAAATAGGTGATGGGGATTAAGGAGTGCACTTGTTGTGATGAGCACTAGGTGTTGTATGGAAGTATTGGATCACTATATTGTATACCTGAAACTAGTATTACACTGTACATTAATTGGAATTTAAATAAAAACTTTAAAAAAATCACAGTGAGATACAGCTACATACCTGTTAGCACGGCTAAAATTAAAAAGACAAAAAAAAAAAGACAAAAGATTGACAGTATTAAGTGTTGGAGAGGATATGGAAGAATTAGAACTCAGACACTGCTAATATGAATGTAAAATGAAACAGCCACTTGGAAGAAGGTTTAGCAGTTTCTTAAAAAGTTATACGTCTGCCCGCCATATGATACAACCATTCTATTCCTAGGTACTTAACCAAGAGAAATGAAATGTATGTCCATACAAGATTTGTACATGAATGTTCATAATATATTTATATGTAATAACCCAAAACTGGAAATAATCCAAATGTCCAACAGCAGGTGAATAAACAAGTGGTAGGGGACGCCTGGATGGCTCAGTCGTTAAGCATCTGCCTTCGGCTCAGGTCATGATCCCAGGATCCTGGGATTGAGCCCCGTATCGGCCTCCCTGCTCGGCGGGAAGCCTGCTTCTCCCTCTCCCACTCCCCCTGCTTGTGTTCCCTCTCTCACTGTGTCTCTCTCTGCCAAATAAATAAATAAAATCTTAAAAAAATAAATAAACAAGGGTAGTTTATCCATACAATGGAATAAATTCAGCAATAAAAATAAACTCGTTATTTGCAATGTCATGAATGAACCTCAAAATGTGAAATCTCAAGATTTAAGTGAAAGAAGCCGAACAAAAAAGACTAATGCTCTATGATTTGATTATGTTAAATTCTTGAAAATGGAAGCTAATCTATACAATAAAAAGCATATCAGTGGTTGCCTATCAGGTGATGGGCAATATAAAGAGATTCCAAAGGGACACAGGAAACTTTTGAGGGTGATGGGTATGTCCATTATCTTGATTATGGTGATGGTTTCATAGGTGTAAACATATGTCAAGTCTTACCAGATTTTCCACTTCAGATGTGTACATTATTGTGTTCTGCATCATACCTTAATAAATCTGTTTTTAAAAGCCCTCCAAAAACATGGAGTGTATGGTGTATGTTTTTATAGAGAATTCTTCAGACTCAGTATTCATTGTGATAATTTCATTTACTTTCAATTCAGTGAATTATTTCATATTATCTTTTTAGTTCTTTTCTGCTTCATGTAATTTCTTCTATAGAAATTAGATATAAGAGATACAGGTGTTGGAAAATTAGTTGATTCCTAATTTTAAAGTGAAAGGAACAAAATGATATTAAGTCTTAATTAAGTTTCTTAAGTTCAGAGGTGAGCTGGGATGCCTGGGTGGCTGAGTTGGTTAAGCATCTGCCTTCGGCTCAGGTCATGATCCCAGAGTCCCAGGATTGAGTCCCAGGATCGACTTCCGCATTGGGCTCCCTGCTCAGTGGGGAGCCTGCTTCTCCCTCCTCTACTCCCCCTGCTTGTGCTCTCTCTCTCTCAAAGAAATAAATAAAATCTTAAAAAAAAAGGAAACTTCAGAGGTGAGCACCATACCTGTAAGAATGAAAATAGGACTTTTAATAGAGCCAGTATAAAGACTTTGTGATATTATTAAGTGAATTTTTGCTAAGAAAATTGCATGTTACCTTAGAGTACATTTAAGCTAATTTATACATATACTTAAGATAATAGTTTTGACGTTAGTTAGGCTAAACTTATGGTATATTTTGGCAATTATGTCTAATAAAGGGAAATAAAAGCAGGAAAAGAAAGAATCAAAAGTAGAAGAAAGATAATGGGAAGAGAATACTGACCTACATGTGATAGGGATTTTAAGGTTGTCACTAGTTACTGACATGCAGTGTCTATTGTGATTATATTCAACTGTCTGTGAGAAAGTAGTTTTATTCCTTGGTGTTTGTGACGTTTCCTGAATTGCCCACCAAGCAAATAGAAAAGCACACAGACTGATCTAAAATGATCAAATCTAAAATGAATCAATTTCTAACATTGATAGCTTACAAACTAAAAAAGCTTTCCTAAAATAAGCTTACTAAATTCTTCAACTCGAAGTAATAATTTGTTGTTGTTGTTATTTAAGAAACAAAACAAACAAGCATAGGGAAAAAAAGAGAGAGGCAAATCAAGAAACAAGACTCTTAACTATAGAGAACAAACTGCTGGTTACCAGAGGGGAGGTGGTTGGGGGGAGGGGTGAAACAGGTGGTGGGGATTAAAGAGGGCACTTGTGATGAGCACTGGGTGTTGTATGGAATTGTGGGAATCATGATATTGTACACCTGAAACTAATATTAAAATTTATGTAACTAAATTGGAATTTAAATAAAAACTTCTAAAAAAATCTGGGTGAGCATTTTCTGTGTCAGTTTTTAAGTAATATATTGAACCATTAGTTTTTAAAATCTTTTATGTAGAAGCTTTAGGAAGATGATAGTTATGAATAATGATTGCTCTACAGGGGAAGATCATATGAAACTTTTTTTTTTAAGATTTTACCCATTTGAGAAAGAGAGAGTGCACGAGGGCACGCGGGGGAAGGGGTAGAGGGAGAGAGAATTTCCGGCAGACTCTGGGCTGAGCCTGGAGCCCCACTTGAGGCTTGATTCCCTCACCCTGAGATCATGACCTGAGCCAGAATTAAGAGTCAGATGCTTAAGGGATTGAGCCACCCAGGAACCCCTTAATAGCAGGACCTATTAAAGGCCAGGCACAGATGATGTTTTGTGTGTGTTTTATACTTCCTTTTTGCAGTGATTGCCCTTTTGACATTTGATTTGTTGGTAATAGATAAAGGGCTGGAAGGTTTCAGTTATCAGACCAGGTAAGTAATTTGAAGACAGTTGTTACAGATGATACACAAAGTATTTTTCAAGAAGAAATGAAATAAAACAATTTTATGGATATGTTGGAAATTATTTTTAGAGAGATTATGCTATAAAATGGACTTTGGTTTGAATGTCATCAAAACTTCCTCTTATTTTTAGAAAGATAACCACAGCGGATGTAAATGAAAAGAACCTCCTTAGTTGTTGCAAAAATCAGTGTCCTAAAGAGGTAAGCTTTAATAGAACCTTTTAAGTTGTATTTCTTGGGCATTGTTTCTCTTGGATTTTCTCTTTTCTCCTTGGTCTCCTTATTTCAGGTCTTTTTTGAACATGCTAGAAATGTGGGTCGAGAGAGGAAAATGTGATTGATGTCTATAAAAATGTAATATGTACTAACTGTAGATGTACATCTCTTTATGAAATTTTGGGGTATTAGAACTAGGAATGACCCTTTGAAGATTTTTTAAAAGCAGTTTTAAAGATAGCTTATATACTTTATATGATAAAGTATTGACCTAATGTTTACCCCTCCACCCCTTAAAATATAAATAGATGAAGAACTCTGTGGGTCATAGGCAGTTAGGCAGTAAATCCATAGTAGGTTATTTAAAAAGCATATTTGTGTGTGTGTGTGTGTGTGTGTGTGTGAACTTTAAGGTTCATTATTATCTTGAATTAATATAAAGCACTTATATATAGAGTTTTATTTTTAAAGATTCTGATGCTTGTATATGCATTGTATTTGTACTGAAAGTATCAAAAATAGTTTAGAAAAATTGTTCAGAGTATAAAGATAAAAAAACTCACTGGTGATTTATCTTGGTGATAATTTGGAAACCAAAGTGGTCTATCTATGATTGGTCAATTTATTTATTTATTTATTTATTTTTTATAATTGGTCAGTTTAAAAGTCAGAGTATTTCCTTTGTTGTTGGTGGTGTGGCAGTGACAGTGATTTGATTTGGTTGGACATTTATAAAGGAAATCCTTTTGACTTACGCATGTACTAACAGTACCACTTTAATTTTAATTCTTTGTCTTTACGCACTTATCTGTTTCTCATCCTCTTTAGAGTCGGGGAGAGATGATGACAAAGGCTTTAATATAGTAGTCATTCTCTGATTAAATAAAAACAAATTAATGCATAATCTGCCTTTTTGTTGACACTATTTCTTTTTTAATAACATATAATGTATTGTTTGTTTCAGGGGTACAAATCTGTGATTCATCAGTCTTACACAATACACAGCGCTCACCATAGCACATACCCTCCCCAATGTCTATCACCCAGTCACCCCATCCCTCCCACCCCCCCCACCACTCCAGCAACCCTCAGTTTGTTTCCTGAGATTAAGAGTCTCTTATGGTTTGTCTCCCTCTCTGGTTTCGTCTTGTTTTGTTTTTTCCTCTCAACTAAAACTTGGATGCTTTTTATGGATTTCTGTTTAAGAACTATTGGAAATTGAACTTGAGTATTTTAAAAGTTATGAAGGATTATTAAAAGGGAGACCGTTTCAAGCAATAAATGATTATTTTAATAACTGTCTTTGTTATATAAGTGAAACTAAGGGCATTGGGATATTTCAAATTTAATTTTTTGATTTCTTCAAATCCTGACTACTTCTTTGTTAAAATAAATTTTCCTCTGTCCAAATTCAGATTCCAGGTAATAAGTGGTTGAGAATGTTACATTTTTAATGATTCAGTAACTTGGTATGAGATTGTAGTTCGAAATAACAATTATATTTAGGGATTGCTAATTTGCAGTTTAGCATTTCCTTGGCTATGATTCAGTTGTGATAATGTTACGATATTTGGTGGGACTAGATGAGTGATCACTGTTTATATAAAAATTTGTTTTCCATGCTCATGATTTTTGGACTCTAGGCCCGTCTGGAGCCCTAGTATTGCTGGAGTCTCCTTGGGCTCTCTTGAAATAAATAGCCTTAGTTTGTGAACAATCCAAGTAGCTGTTATAGTTCGAAACAGTCTAAGAGTGGACAGGTGAATATCCTTGTGTCTAATAGAACTTATTCTAGTTTATGGCCTCTGGACATTGTTAAGACTACAGCAGTACTTCTCAGTCAGTTCAAGGGCTTCTTAAAACAGATTAATGGGCCCTGCCCCAGAGTTTCTGATTTTGAGGGCCTGGAGTAGGGGCCCAAGAATTTGCATTTCTAATCTTTTATGTAATAGTGATATTGTTGGTCTGGCATTACAGTTTTGAGACCCACTAAGCTATAGAATGAAGTCATACTTAGGATCAACCAAGAACTGTGTCATTTGAATCTGCAGTAGGTATCTTATACTTGGAGTTAAGGTATGGGATTATGATAAATTCTGTTGTACTGATAAAATTCTTGTTTACTTTCTCCTCCCTTCCCCATACTATAGATTTCTTGGGGGCAGGCACTATGTCATATTTATCCTTGTATCCAGCCCCTTGTTCCCTGTTTGTACACGTTAGGCGGTGGGTAAATGTTTATGTGAATGTGAATGAAACTGACCTGTGGAAGTGGTATAGACATAGCCTTCTAGCGCTACTGATGCTCTCGTATATACTCTCTATCTTCTGGACTGCTTTGAATTTAACAAAAAGAAGATATAAAGATACCATGAAGAACTGCACCTTTAAACTGTGCCCCACATATATAATTCTACTTTTAAAAATTATTTCTGAATTTGATTTTATCATCCCTGTGAAACTTTTCTGTTTTTTACTTGAGCGAATTATTTAATGTTACTGTAACTTAAATTGTTCATGTATAAAATGGGGGCAATAATACTACTCACTTCTGAGTGCTGAGTATTAATGAGTTAAGAACATGTAAATGTCTTAGTACTATATATGTGCTAGCTGTGGTGATGGTGGGATGGGTATTTATCCATAAACGATATTGTTTTGCAAGCTTTCTTTAATTATTTTTAAAGAGTTTTTTTAATTGTTGGAATTAAAATGGAACATTTCGAACTAGATAGTATTGGTTCTTGATAGGGTGTTTGAAATGACATATGCAAGTGTTAGCAGAATGATGTTAAGGGCTGAGTAGAGTAGAAGAAAACCATCCCACGTTGAGTGGAAAGAGTAGGACATCTCATCTTTAAAATGAATATCAAAGTTGGGTGTTTTAGAAAAATCTCTGTTTTTTGGTATGAAGTCTGTAATGAAGATACAGTCATTATATATTCATTTTAATCAGCTTCCTTTGGAACTGCTTTTCAGCTCTTTCAGAATATAAACTGGCTTTTGAGATAACACGTACTTGCACACCTGGTTTTTTTTAAACAATGAAATTACTACCTACTCAAAAGTACCTAATACATATATGGACAATTTAACAAATAGTTAAGAAGTCAACACCATATAACTTCACCCAGGTCAAAAAAATACAGTATTATTGCATCTCAGAAGTCTGCCAAAGTCCCTGTCTGGCTGTGGTTCCCCCCGCCATCCTATTTGTTACCTCCATCTGCCTTTTATAGTAACTATTTCCTTGCTTATATTTATGGTTGTCACGACTTATATTTGTATCTGGAAACAACATTGTTTGCTTAATTTTATACTAAAAGTTCAAAAGCATGAACTTTTGTGACCTTAGTTTGCTCTCCATTATGTTTGTCGTGTTTATTGCATGTGGCTATAGTCTTATTTCCATTGTACAAGTATACTATGGTTTACTGTGTTTGTTTTACTCTGGGTAGATATTTGAGTTATTTCCAATTCCATACTCATACTTAATTCCAAAATATTGCTATGAACATTCTTGTTTGTGCATTCTAGTGTATGTGTATATAGATTTCTCTAGGCATATGGTGGTGCCATTGCTTGGTCATAGGGAATGTATAATTTCAACTTAATGTCATATTGATTTCCAAAATAGTTGTACAATTTACTATCAGTAAATCTTCTAATTTACCACCAGTATTTTAAAGTTCCTGTCATGACATATCCTTGCCAACACTTGGTATTGTCAGAGTTTTAAATTTTTGCCAGTCTTGTGACATTTTGTTATTTTAATTTACATTTTCCTGATTCCTGGTGACTTTTAATACTTTTTCAGGATTAATGGCAATACTTTTGTCTCTGGGACATATATTGGATACCAGCATAGTATACTTCTGGATGAATTTCAGTTCTCCTTGTAAGCTAGAGTAATCAGTTTCATTAGCTTATCACAAAAAGAAGATATATTTGGAGGATATTGGGGACCAGTTCATAGACTCTGAAGGAAATGCTGTACAACAAGCTTTGGGAAGGGCAGAATCTGGGCAGCCCCCAGGGGCTTGCCAGCAGGAGCTCGGGGCTCTGTACTGAGAGGACTGTTCAAACCACCACCTCCTTCTTTTTAGTTTTCAGATTATCAGGAGAGAAAATCTGATTGATCTCCTTAGGTCGAGGGGCTCCCTTGGCATAGGCAGCAAAAGACAGGGGACTAGAATGGATAGCATAGCCATGGCCATGAGAAAATTGTGATGAGCCAGGTAGCCATCCCAATTTATGTCTTCTGTATCTTCTACCAGCAGTGGAGGTGAAAGGTGTGGAGATTCATGGAAGAATTGTTAGATGGGGTAACAGGATCAAATGCAGTATTCAGAGAAAAGATACATTTTGAAGGCAGAAGATTCAGCCAGAGACAAGAGAGACTTTCAAGATGGTAGTGAAATTGTGAAGAGTGACCATGAGGTCTTTTCGGAGGCAGAAAGATATAACATCCAGACCAGTGTTTGCAGCTTCTCATCAACCGCCAACACATTGAAAAGATAGAACATTATAGCCATGATTCTGTGTAATTTCAGAAAGATCTTTATTGATTGTGACAGGCTTCCCTAGTCCCTTCTAAAGTCACTTTCCCCTTTAGAATTATTGATTGAAAGTAAAGTAGAGTGGTTAGTTACTTTTAGAGAAGATGACTTATGTAATTACCTCAAAGGTTAAAGAAGGAACAAGAGACTACAGAGACATGTTTTGAGAAGAAGAGAGGCTAAGGTGGTCAGCTGATGCCAAATGTTTGTCTTCTTCGTGAAGTCAGGCTAGAGGCACTGGCAGGAATGAAGGTGGGAATAAAGTTGAGGAGACAAAGACTTTATAAACAGCCCTGTGAGGCAGGTATATGACAGTGAATAAATATTGAGCGTATTAAGCAGTGTTCAGGGCCTCGTTAGGTGTAGAGAGAAACAAAACTGAAGTGGTCCAGGAATGCTAGTGTGGAACTCATTCCAGCAGCTCAGCCCTACGATGGGATTGATGAACATGTAGTCTGAGTGTCCAAATTTAGTTTTGGTATGAAAGTCTCAGCTAAAAATGAAAGAGCAAGAAATCTAATTGCACACTAGAGAGACACTAAAGGCATTGGAAAAAACTTGTGAATTTTTTTAAAGTGAGTAAAGAGTTGGAAGGATCAATCTACTGAATCATAAAGATCAAAAGTTGGAGAATTCAAATGTTTATTAAGATGTCCACTATTTATAAGGTGTCTTTGTTAATGAGTATAAGAGACACAAAGAAATAGAAGACCATTGCTCTCAACTAACTTATTATTTTATATAGCTAAATATTTTATAATAGCTAAATATGTCAAGCACATATAATCCTCGCAATAGCTATACAAAATTCTGTTACTCTGTTCCCAGTTTTATATGTGAGGAAGAGAAAAGTCGGGGGGCTTGCCCAAGGTTTCACAGTTGGTAAACAGGGAAGCTGGCCTTCAGTTCCAGGCAGCCTGACTTTGGAATTTAACCAGTAACTAGTGGTAGTCTGGTTGGAGAGACAGATATCTATGAGGTGTCTAAACATTTTTTTTTTTAAATTTAAGACCATACAAACAATGTCACAATAGTTTAGAAATATATTTCTTACATAATTACTATTATTTGTTCAAACATAGGCAAACTCCTATCATGCTTCTATGGTGATTTAAGCCATTTCTTGAAATTTGATAAGATTTGAATACAAAGAAAGTCAGAACGTTTCATCTGAAAGCTTGACTGGGATAAGAAGATAGTAAATAAGTAAAGACAAGGAGCCATGTAAATATCATGGCAGTTACTGAGTTGGTTTGGCTACCTATATAATATGTTTTGATATATAGTAGCAAAGAGAAATGATTTAGAGTAAAAGGCTAAGCAGTTGTCTTATAATACAGTGCCTTAAGGACAAGGATATTTTCTTTCTTTCTCATATAACCCTATGGGGAAGGTAGATGTTTTGTCACTGTGCTCCACGTATTCATCCAGGAACCCAAGTAAGCCAGGCAGCTCTGCTGCTCTTTGACACATGGTTTCCATTATTGCTCTAGATGTCATCATTTAAAGCACATTGGGAAGGGAAGGACATGGATGTGTGCTCTTGAAATGCTTTAAGGCACAAAAGCACTTAATCTTATATTCCATTGGCCAGAACATAGTCACATGGCTATAACTAGTCACAATAGTGATGTTCCACTCCAAGATACACTCTTGGAGTGGAACTGGGGAGAATATTTAACATTTCTGTGTAATTAAAGTAATTTATATCTAAAAGAAAAAGTTGAAAAATTAGATGATTATCCAGGGTTGATTGACCCTATTGTAATAGACTCTCAAAATAGTTGTGGAGGAAGGGGAGTTTGCAAAGTCTGACTAGAATGTAAATATGTGATTGCCTTATTTTGGTTTTATTTTAGCTTCCTTGTGGTCACAGATGCAAAGAGATGTGTCATCCTGGTGAATGTCCCTTTAATTGCAACCAGAAGGTAAAACTTAGATGTCCTTGTAAAAGAATAAAAAAGGTAAATATTTTAAGTTATTGAAAATACTTTTTTATGTAAAAGTTTTCTTTGTGTTTTGGTAGTTCTTTTTGCCTTTTGATTTTAAGATCTTCTTTTTTAGAATCGTTTTATTGTTAGCCTGTTTCTGTAAATACTTATTTTAAAAATCAGCTTTGTTTGGCAATTTAGTTTTCTGTAATTTATTCATAAAAGAACTTTGTCTTGTATTGGAATCAAGTTCAGTGCCCTTTTTTGGATAGAATCAATATGCTCTAGCTTTGAGGTCTTTGTACAAGGAACACAGTGTGAGTAATAAAGTGAGTTTCATGGTTTAGGAAATGGTCCGGAATTAACCTTTGTTGCTCTTGTTTATGAAACAGTTTTTGCCGTCAGTATCAAGTTGTGAAAACAGCCTTAAAGAGACTTCACATGCATAGCCTTATAAAATTAGAAAATAACAACCTCAGGGAGAATTCATTTTAAGATAGAGGTAATGGAGGACTAAAAGGGCGAAACTAATGATTGGAAAGCTCGATGGAAGCAAACTGCACGCTGTTCGTCTAAGCCTACAAAGGAAGAGGCTCACTGTTACCGGATGGCAGTGGCTGGGTGGTCTTGTTTTCAGCTCTCCTTTTGCTGGACTTCCCTGTTCACACGGTCCGCCTCTGATTTCTGCTATCTTGGTTAAAGTTGCAGCTCCTTTTTTCCTTCATGTTCTTATAGTCATCCCCTAAAGCTAGTCTTTTTCTTTTCTTTAGATTCACTCTACTTGTATTCATCCATCCAACAAGTTTTTTTGAGAATCTTTTGCTTTTACTGAGGATCTTTGCTTTTCATTTATTTTCACAGCTTTTGTTCACTTCCTAGGGGAGGTAACTTCTGAATTTAAATGAATAGGCCTGACCTCTTCTGGAGTTGAATCCATAGGTTTTAGATATTTGAATTGGACCATCTTTTTTTTTTTTTTTAAGATTTATTTATTTATTTTTTAAGATTTTATTTATCTCAGAGAGAGAGAGCACACGCATGTGCAGGGTGAAGGGCAGAGGGCTGAGCAGGGAGCCCAGTGCGGAACTTGATCTCAGGACACCAGGACCATGACCCGAGGCAAGAGTAGACACTTAACCGACTTGAGCCACCCAGATGCCCCTAAACTGGACCATCTTTATGTGAAAATCAATGCTTGGTCACGCCATTTTAATCTGAGATGTCTCTCAAATTTTCTCTCATCTCATGTTACTGTCCAAGTGCAGTTGCCACCCACTAGAACTTGGGCAACAGCTCATTCTTGGACTTTAAGAACAGCTTCATAACAGATTTCCTTGCCTCCAAGCATAATAATTACCCTAATCTAAGTTCTTCAGTGGTTCTTCATCACTTATGGGAAGAAATATGCATTTAAAAGAAACATGTATGCACATATAGACTTGGCATTCAAGAGAATCTATGATGGTACCTTTGCCTGCTTGTCTCCGCTCTCATCCTCCAGCAGTCATCCTGTGACTCTGTTATTTAAGTGCCCTAACATATATGCTATACTCCCTTTTAATCTGTGGCAATGTAGACATTCTTTCTTTTCTGTAAAATGCCAAGTTTTTTCCCTTTACTGTTCCGTTTACTAGAATCCTGCTAGTAGTACTCAGTGCAAGCATTTCCTTGTTTGGGAAGGTCTTCCTTCCCCTGACTCTCTTGCGAAGACTTAGATGCTGTTTCTGCTTGGTTTTCTTTATTCTAGGTTCATGACTAAAAGCTTTGTGATTCTAGGGATGTCTGTAACCTTGTTTTCTCATCCATAAAATAGACTTTATGTGTAGATTTATTGAAAGGAATGAAAGAGGTAATGCTTATATAGCATTTAGCACAATGATTGTTAATGTTTAATAAATAATAGCTGCTACTACTTACCACATTATTATATTATTTTTCTTATCGTGTCCCCTGCCCCTAGCAAAGTGCTTTTCATGTAATAGGTGCTCGATAAGTACCTTGGAATGAGGAAGGGTAGGATCCCTCTTTCAGGCTGATAGACTTAATAACTGCAAACACAATATTTATTTTTGTCTTTAATGTTTGTATATGTTATTTTTTCTTTGTCTGGACTATCCCTGGAGGACTCTGTTTATCACAACCTCAGCCAAAAATGAAGAACTAAAGTGAGGAAAAAAACCCTCTAAATAATAAAATTCCATGCTATAAAGTGTTTTCATTAAAGTATGTGTACTTTGCTCATAGGATTGATGATCACATATCTTAACTCTGGTAAATGTAAACTAAAAAAAATAGTATCTGAGAGTGTGGTAAGAAAGGAGAATTTGATATAGACAGGTACCCTTAGAGCAAAAGTGATATCTGGCAGCAATAAAAAGATAGATAAAACATCTACAAAAGCAAATTCTAGGACTTTAAAATAAGGACCACTTACTCTAATAGTTCACAAATCGATTATAGGATTGATGTCACATCATCAAGAAAAGAGTAGATTAGGTTTTTATTGTTTCACTAAGGAGGCACTGAAGTGCAAACATAAACTTTAGACCAATTTTAAAAAATTTTTAAACTTTTTAAAAAATTAAATGGTTGAGAGGAAAATTTGTAGCTCTCCAGAAAATTCTCTAGAACTGCATGAGTTGGTAGCCATTAGCCACATATTGCTGTTGATTTATTTGAATATTTTTTAGCTTTATTGATGCATAATTGACAAAAATTGTACATATTTAAGATGCACACATCGGGGCACCTGGGTGGCTTAGTCGTTAAGCGTCTGCCTTCACCTCAGGTCATGATCCCAGGATCCTGGAATCGAGCCCTGCATCGGCTCCCTGCTCTGCGGGAGACCTGTTTTTCCCTCTCCCTCTCCCCCTGCTTGTGTTCCCTCTCTCGCTGTCTCTCTTTCTCTCTGTCAAATAAACAAAATCTTTAAAAAAATAATGCACACATGATGATTGTGTATACATACACACTGTGAAATGATCACAGCAATTAAGCTAATTAACATTTACCACCTGGTTACCATTTCTTTGTGGTGAGAACACATTCTACTCTCTTAGCAAATTTAAAGTATGTAATACAGTATTATTAACTATAGCAAGCATGCCATATATTAGATTCCTCAGAACTTACTCATTTTATCACTAAAAATTTGTACCCAGTCACCACAATTTCTCCACATTTCACCTCGCCCCTAGCTCCTGGCAATCTCCATTCCCTTCTTAGCTTTTCTAATTTTTTAGATTCTCCATATTAGCTCGTACAGTATTTATCTATCTATATCTGTCTTATTTTACTTAACCTGATTGTCTCCATGTTCTCTAAATGGCAGGATTTCTTTCTTTTTTGTGGCTAAATAATATTCCATTATTGGTAGATAGGTGGGCAGATCACATTTTCTTCATCCATTTATCCACTAATGGACACACCTTGTTTCCATATCTTGGCTATTGTGAATAATGATACAGTGAACGTTGGAGCACAAGATATTTCTTACTTTTTTCATTTCCTGGATATGTATCCAAGAGTAAGACTGCTAGAACCTGTATTAGATCTATTTGAAATTTTTTTAAGAAGGCTCCATACTGTTTTTCATACTGGCAATACTAATTTACATTCCCACCAACACTGTACAAGATTTCTTTTTTTTTTTCCTATATTCTTGTCAACACTTGTTATCTATTGGCTTTTCAATTATAGTTATTCTAACAATTGTGGGTTGATTATCTCATCGTGGTTTAGATTTGCATTCCGTGGTGATTAATGATGTTGAGCACACTTGCATGTATCTGTTGGCACACATACAGCTAAATTTGAATTTTAATGAATCAACATGAAATAGTAGTAAACATTCATTTCCTCGATTTCACTGGCCACATTTTGAGTTTTCAGTAGCCATGTGTAGTCAGTGTTCCTCCTTTGAATAGAACGGATGTAGAACATTTTTATTGTCTCAGAAAGCTGCATTGGGTGGCACTACTCTGGAGCATTTTATAGCACAAAACAATAAAGAATGAAAAGGAAATTGAAGCCAAGTTGATAGTGGCTCTTAGTAAATAATTATTAAATGGATGCTTTAAATTTTATGGTATTCACTTTTTTCCAGTTAGGAGTAAATAAATAGTAAATAAATGAGTAAATAAATAAAAATGTCTTGATTGTTTGAATCAAGACATTTAATACTTCTAACCATATCATCATTAAATATTCATGAACATGACTTCTAAATAATATGCATAACCTTAAACTGTCAGATATTTTGCTTTTTTATGGCATACAGTTAGGACTCTGAGGACTCTTAAAAATCTTTTAAAATCAAATTTTTAAAAAACTGTTATTTGTAGGAATTGCAGTGCAACAAAGTACGTGAAAATCAGATTTCAATAGAATGTGACACAACATGCAAGGAAATGAGGCGGAAAGCATCTGAGGTAATGTCATGTTAAATGTCATTTTTTTTTTTTTTTTTAAAGAGAGATAGTGTGAGTGAGCACGGGGTTGGTTGGGGGAGGGACAGAGAGTGAGGGAGAATCTCAAGCAGACTCCCCACTGAGCGCAGAGACCGACACAGGGCTCGATCTCACAAACCCTGAGATTATGACCTGAGACAAAATCAAGAGTCAGATGTTTAACCAGCTGAGCCATCTAGGTGCCCCAAATGTCATTTTTAATGTGCTAATGAGTGGCCTTTTCCTATTTATTTTGTGCATTACTTTATGTGCTTACTACAAAGAACTCAAAATCTCATCTTTTTTGCTTTTATAAGAAAGCCTAGTGTTTTTTCTTTTTTAAGACTTTTTATTTATTTATTTGAAAGAGAGTGAGAGAGAGAGCATAAGCAGGAAGGAGAGGGAGAAGCAGACTCCCTGCTGAGCAGGGTGCCTGAAGTGGGGCTCAATCCCAGGACCCTGGGATCATGACCTGAGCTGAAGGCAGATGCTTAACCAACTGAGCCACCCAGGCGCCCCAGGAAAGCCTAGTTTTGTAGACCTATTTTGAATCCCCAAGTGTGCACTTTATTGTCTAGTGTGTACTAGATTTTCTTTCCATCCTTGTACCACCAGTTTTAGTCTATGTGCTCCAGAACATAGTTGTTCATCTTAATGTTAGTGTAAGCCTCCTGAAAGTTAGGTTAAAATAATACAAAGTAAGGGGCACCTGGGTGGCTCATTCGTTAAGCGTCTGCCTTCAGCCTCAGGTCATGATCTCAGGGTCCTGGGATCGAGCCCCACATTGGGCTCCCTGCTCAGCAGGAAACCTGCTTCTCCCTCTCCCACTCCCACTGCTTGTATTCCCTCTCTCACTGTGTCTCTCTCTCTGTCAAATAAATAAATAAAATCTTTTAAAAAAATAAAATAATACAAAATAAGATTTTGGAGTTCTTTGCTGTTTGGGTTACCTCTGGTGTCACTATTTCCCTCCATCAATCCAATTAATGAATAAACTCTTGATTTTGCTTAACACTAAGGATTCCCTTCCAGATAGGGCATTTATGGAAAATGGTCAATTTCAACTCTAGAAAAAGAGTGGTATTTAATAATTTGTTATAGACTTAGTATGGTAACTCGAGAAAAAAATCAGTTTTAACACTTTCATTTTGCAGTTTTGTAATTCTTTGAATTGTAATCTAATATCTATTAAGTTGTTAAGCTGAAATGTTTATATAAAGGATAACACTATCCCTCCCCTCACCTCACAGTCTGTTAGATCCTTGGTAACACCTCAGTGTAACATTTACATGTCTTTAGGTAATTTCCAATATAAAGTTACCAAAAGTTGTTATGGGTTAGTGGATCGTGGGTGGGAAGATGTTAAAATTCTAAATAAAATTTGATGATTACAATGTTAATTCACTTTTAAATGTCTATAAACAGATAAAAGAGGCAGAAGCCAAAGCTGCTCTCGAAGAGGAAAAACGAAGACAACAGGTAACTCAACAAAATATTTATGTCTCTTTGTATCATTGTTAGTTTTTATGCAAACACAAGGTATATTCTACAGAAAAACTGGGAGCCAGTCAACTGTTCCCTGGACTGAAAATAATATAGTTCCTACAAAATGAAAATCAGCCACTCACTCACTTCAGTTCAACTATACTGAACCTCTGAAAAGGCGTGAAATCTTGTATATTCCCAAATTTACTTCCTTGCCAGGCTCATCCATTCTCGATCCCAGGACTCCAGGATCATGGCCTGAGCTGCAGGCAGTTGCTTAACCAACTGAGCCACCCAGGCGCCCTCCATTCTCTAGTGATAAGAGTTTTAGCTCCTCCTTTGGTTGGTGGATGGGGGTTGGAGTGTGGCAGCATCCATTTTAAGGCATCTCCTGGAGCCCATGTCTTCACTCACCTAAAAGTATTTGAGTTCTGTTTTGCTGACTTGCAGATTGTCTGTAAAAATGAGTGTTGTTTACTAACCAATGCATTTACTTTAACAGTATATTGCCTTATTTCCCTTTTAGATTCCTAAATGCAAGATTATTATCTGTTCTTTGCTGTATAGGAGATAACAACTACATTCCTGATATCCTGTTTGCTCAAATACCATATTGGTCATATACTCCAAAGAGTGGTTTAACTTTCTAATAGTGACATATAATTATTTGTCAGTTTGCATTTTGAGATGCTTATGCTTAGCAAGAAGGGTATATTATATGCAAACTGTGGCCTTTTGAATAAGGAAATTAAAATTTGTATGACTTCAGGGGAGGACATTGGAAACAATTTAGGTAGCAATAAAGGTGGGCTAAAATGACCTCTGATGTTATATGGTTCTATAAAGTTGATTTGCCGAATATTCCAAAATAAGTTATCAGAGCTATTACACTAAAATATGGATCGACTGGAATCCTGGGAGATTAACTTATTAGGAATAGTTTAGGGTGAACCTTCTTCCCCTTTTTCTAAACCATTTGGATGGAAATTTTAAATATATTCTCTATTTACTGACCTTTTAAACAGAGTGTATGGAACATAATTTAAACTATAAATGATGACTGTGGGTCATTATTAAAGCATTAGTTATTTTACTGTGTCAGTTCTCAAGTTTGGCTCCTGTTAATGTATTTTGATCTTGTTCTCCGTTTCAACAACAACTTGAGAGTATTCTGACGTCTTGGTTCATTGAAGAATGCTTCTTTGTGTTAAATTAAGTATAGGATTAGGGCATCTTCAAATGTGGTTTATTGGCAAAGTAATGGATATATTAACTGAAGTTTGTACAGTTGACCCTTGAATGACACAGGTTTAATCTGTTTCAGCTGTGCGGATTCACTTTTGTGTAGCTTCTTTTCAGTATCTACAGTACAGTCCTGTAAATGTATTTTCTCTTATGATTTTCTTAGTAACATTTTCTTTTCTCTAGCTTACTTTATAGTAAGAACACAATATATGATACAACATACAAAATATGTTAATCAACTGTTATTGGTAAGGCTTCCAGTCAACAGTAGGCTATTGGTAGTTAACTTTTTGGGGAGTCAAAAGTTATATGTGGATTTTCGACTGTGTGTGGGGTCAGCACACCTGACCTCTGCGTTGCTCAAGGGTTAACTTATATTTCCTTCTGTTAAATAAACAATTACAGAATCTTGCATGGATATTACATATATATTTTTTAGTTGATGACTATCATGTTTTAGTTACGATGCACTGTAGTATATCATGTTACATTATCCTGTATAAAGTTAAGTAACTTCTTAACGGTAGAATAAAAATCCACATTTTATAACAAGTATCATCCAGTTACCCTTTTTTAGGACCAGTTTTTATATAATTCTACTTTCTAAAATTGTTATTTCGTTTAAAGCATGAGCATTTTTTTTTCCTGAAGAATTTCTACTCTGCTTTTAAATATACTTGTTAAAGATAATTCTGGAAGTTTTTTCCCCTACTCACTTGAATTTCTTTCACACAAGCCATTAATGTTTATTATCAGCATTGTAAAAAAACTAGAAGTATAGGTATTTTTATCTCACTGGGCATCTCTTAGCACTTGCTAGAAGCTGTATATTATAGAAACCCAACAGATTAATGGTGTTGAAGTATAAAATTAATGTCTATATTTAGGGCACCCTGATTTAATCAGATGTTTGTATATTTAGTGTCAGGAGCGCCTGGGTGGCTCAGCTGGTTAAGCGTCTGCCTTCAGCTCAGGTCCTGATCTCAGGGTCCTGGGATCAAGCCCCCTGGTCATCATTGTCATCAGGCTCCCTGCTCAGTGGGGAGTCTACCCCTCCCTCTCCCTTGTCCCTCCCCCCGCCCCCCGCAACCCAGCTTATGCTCTCTCTCAAATAAATAAAACCTTCAAAGAAACTCAAAGTGAATAAATAGGGATTCCTGGGTGGCTCGGTCGGTTAGGCATCTGTATTTGGCTCGGGTCATGATCCCAGAGTCCTGGGACCATGTTGGGCTCCTTGTTTGGTGTGGTGGAGAGCCTGCTTCTCCCTCTGCCTGCCGCTCCCCCGCTTGTGCTCGTGTGCGCGCGCTCTCTCTCTGTCTGACAAATAAATAAAATCTTAAGTAAATAAATAAAAATAAAAATAAATAATGTCAAAGTCAGGCTTAGATCTGAAATAATCTCTTTTGTTACTCCCCCATTTCTCTTTCTGCTTACCTAAATGAATTTGTTGAATACAGTCTATAATGGATAGAGTTTTTTGAAAAAATCAAATCAATGTATTTATTACATACCATTACTATTAAAACATTTGGCACATTGATTTATTTTCATCTGGAAAATTTCAAGTCAATGTATGTATTGAATTTAATAAAAATGATACTGTTTTGGTTTTTGATTTAGGCTGAACTGGAGGCTTTTGAAAACAGACTGAAAGGTCGTCGGAAGAAGAACAGGAAAAAAGATGAAGTGGCAGTTGAGCTAACACTATGGCAGAAATACAGATATTATCTCCTTCCAGCGTGTACACTTGTGGTTTTAGTGTTTGCATGGTACATAGTCCACGATGAGGCTTAAAAACTTTTGATCTGTTCATATACCTCAGATTGGATTTAGATAAGTTGTTCACTCTGGAATATTAGGAAGTGTATACTGTAGAACATATCTATTCACATTCCTCTCTCTATTTTCTTCCAGCTGTTGTTAAAAGGACAGAATGTTGAGCTTTATCTTAATTAGCATACTAGAAGTGGCAATATAACATTTTTAATAGTAAAAGCATGACTGAAATTGTAAAATATCTCATAAGCCATAGCCAGTGGCAGGGTAACACGTCAGTTGTTCATTGTGCTTCCTTGTGTTTAACATAGTTGTTTCACTTCCTGTTTCAAACCAACTTTCTTTTTTTTTGCAAAATTAAGATGAAACTGAGCCATATGTGCAGTAAAAGGACTGTGTCACAATGTTTTGGTTACTTATTAAAAGGTACTTTTCTTGATCATGGTTTCTTGATCATGTAACTTTGTACTTTATTCTCTAAAAGACCTCTTAAATTGTAACATGAAGCTATATAATTAGATTCCAGAAATTGGTTTATTAGTGAGGAATTTTTATCAGTTATTGAAATAAATTTTTATGTAGTAGGTACCTCAGAGGAAAATATAATTGTTTTTTAAAAAAAGCCAGGCTAGATTCCTCACATGTGGCTATTTCTTGTGTAAGAAGCATTTAACCTGAAGTTTGGCATGTTTTGTAAAACTTGTATGTGTCTTTTCAAAGTAATAATTAAAAAACCTGGTATTTATGAGCAATAGATGCTGAGCACAGGGCTTATGAGCTTTATATACTTATTCTCATTTCTTCTTACCATGATCCTGTAAGTAGATTTCAGCTGGAAGTAATCAGTTCTTATGAAAACAAGCTGATAGAGAAATATCAGTAAGCCAAATCTTTTTGAATTGTCATTTTAAATGGTTTTGCTATTTAATTTTTGTATGCTTAATGTTTTCATTAAAATTTTTCATGCCAAATTTGTAACCTAGAATATTTACTATTATCTAATAGTAATAAAATTAGAGTCAGGAGCCTATAATTTTAGGCTAGGTGTTAATATCACTGTATAAAATCTCTAATACTTGATGCAATACATAATTATTGATAGACACTAAAAAGTATAGAAGTATGTTTTAAACAAGTACAAAGAAGGCTTTCTAAACTTTGCTGACTTTAATGCAAAATTTTTTAATGTTCTGTTCTTTCATCTAGTGTTAGTGTCTAAAATGAAAGGGCAGTCATTCCTTTCATTATGGTATTTGTGTTTTGACTTCAGATTTTTTTTCTTTTATACCTTTCTCAATGCTAGAGTACCTGGGTTGTGTTTCAGAAGCTCTAAATTAGAGCTGCTACACTCAAGTCATTTCTTTACTCTAAGATGAATATTAAAGACTGAACAACTAGGTGTCTACCTGGGGAGCTGTTTTCATGTATCTCAGAATTTCGGCCTAATAAACAAGCCTGAAGCCTGTTTCCTATCTGTTTCTTGGGCTTCTGTTCTGGCTAGTTTTCTTTCTAATTTGTGGGGAAGAATTTAGTGAGCAGAGAGAGGAGATTGAATGAATGAATAATAAATTAAGCTGTTTACTGTTTTTTATTTGCTTCATTAATTTACCTAAAGTTACACACTATTTAATCAACAGACATGTTTCCTGTGTGTTAGGTACTTTGTAGGTACTAGAGATAACCCTGATCCTTTCTCTTGGGGAGCTGGTAAGGAGCGGAAGAGGGCAGGCAGGAAATAGATACTCAATACAATAGACATCCTTTCATGTGTGATAAGTGGTGTTTAAAAATGAAATGGTACAGAAAGTGATGAAAAAGGGGGTGAAAGGTCACTAGCAGCTTTAGATTGGGAAAGTCCTGCTGAGATGGGGACATCCGAACTATGACCCGAATGATCTGCATTTGAAGATCTGAGGGAAAAGTCCATGAGGGAGGGAAAGTAGCAGGTACCAAGTCCGGAAGCCCCATAGACCATGGTGAGGAATTAGGGTTTATTCCAGTCACAGTGGGCGGTGTTGGAAGGTTGTCAGTGGGGGAATAGTTGCTGTCCTTAAGATGACTCGCTGCTGGCTGCTGGTGGAGACAAGACTGTAAGGGGGAGGGGAGGGAGGTGGGTTGGGAGGCAGCCCAGGCTGGAGGTGCTGCTGAGGCTGGGCTCTAGTTCCCCACCGCCCTTGAATGCCCTTGAATGCCCTTGAATGAGTAGCAGGTGTGAGGAAGCCCTGGACATAGCTGTGTGATGAGTGGAAGGGGAGTGAATGAGACAGGATAGAGGAAATAAGTTCTTTAAGGTCAAAATGCAGTTCAATTGGGCCTAAATATATACATGAATTTGTTCTGAGGGAAATAAAGCAGTACATTTTGGCCTTTTTTGCTTCAATCTGAACCAATTAGAGAAGGACTGAAAAAGTTAGCAAATAGCCACTAGGAACGACACAGATAAAATTGTGAATGTGTTGGCCTTATCAAACTCCTCCACTTTGTGTCATTGTAAAAGTTGGATGAGCTTACTATTTGAAATTTGGGGCATATTTATGTTGAAATTTTTAGTTTTTCAGCTTGAACTTTTAGGGATTGATCTAAAAAGTGTTTCTGTTTCAATTTCCCTATTCAAGTCCAAATTAAATTCAGATAATCTCAAATAAATTGGTATAGTCTTTGCTGAAATTGCCAGAGGAACTTTATTGAAGCAAAACATTGAAAACATTTGCTTTTTGCAAAGAAGTCTGATGCTTGAACTTCATGGCTATGAATGTTAAAAATTTTAAACACAGGTAAGTATCTGTCATAATGTTTAAAGATGACGTAAAGCACTTTTGGCTCTTCATGTTATTTCAAATGACCCAGGTATCTCCACCTGTTACATTTGCCCATCCCTGGATGTTAGAAAGTGAGGCAGATGTTTAAGCTCTGGAGCTAGAATTGATGTAGGGCAGCTATGTCTCTTCTCTGGTCTGCAGAAGTCGTCCTCTGTGTTGAGTGGCAGTGATTAGACCACCCTAAGCCTTGGGCCGTAGAGTCTACTTATAAGTTGGTGAGCTGCATAGAGGGAAGAAGCACCCCCTTGAAAAGATGTGAATTTGGCGGTGGGGAGAGGGAGGAGCTGGGAACCCCTCGGCTATCCAGAAACTCTTAAGGGACAAGAGACCAGGTGTCCACCTGGAAAAGCATTTTCTTTTCTTTTTTTTTTTTTTTTTAAAGATTTTATTTATTTATTTGACAGAGACACAGCGAGAGAGGGAACACAAGCAGGGAGAGTGGGAGAGGGAGAAGCAGGCGTCCCGCCAAGCAGGAAGCCCGATGTGGGGCTCGATCCCAGGACCCTGGGATCATGACCTGAGCCAAAGGCAGACGCTTAACGACTGAGCCTCCCAGGCGCCCCACCATTTTCATGTATTGCAGAATCTTGGTCTGTTGAGGAAGTTTAGGTCTCCTATTTGCTGTGCTGCCCCTCTTGCTAAGTTCTCAATGTGGGGGCATGTATTTATGTGGTACTGTGAAGAATCACCCACATACAGCCTGAAATTCCACAGTCTAGATTCATTTGAGTTAAAACACTTTTAGAGAGACCTTCCCTTTTTACCATCATCTGGCCATCCTCTATCTTAACAGTATTTTTCCCTCGTAGCACCATACCTGTCAATGTATTATGTATTTATTTGTCTCATCTCCTTCACTAGAATGTAAGCTCCACGAGGGCAGGAGTGCAGTTTGTTTACTGATGTAACCCCAGAGTGGGCATGCCTAGCCACATAATAGATGCTGGTGTTAGTTTTCTTGGGCTACCATAGCAAATTACCCCAAACAGTCTTGAAACAACAGAAATTTATTCTCTCACAGGCAGGCGGTCAGAAGTCCAAAATCAAAGTGAAAATAGGTAGGTTCGTTCTGGACACTGAAAACTGTTCCATGCCTCTCTCTTAGCTTCTGGTTGTGGGCATCAGTCTTTGGCTTGTCCTGGCTTGTAGACATAATCCCAATCTCACCTCCATCTTCATATGACCTTCTTCTCTGTGTATGGGTTCTTTTCTGTCTCCTATAAGGACACTTTTTGTATTTAGGGTCCACCCTGAGCCAGTATAATCTCATTTTAACTAATCACATCTGCAAAGACCCTATTTCCAAAGGAGGAAGGTGACATTGTCAGGTTCCAAAGGGACATTAAATTTTGGGGGCGGAAGAGGGGCAGTATTCAACCCACTGCAATGCACGCTATTTGATGGACGGATGAATGAATTCACAATGTAATTCTAGGCTGTAAGCTCCTTGGGTATTTTTCATTACTCTCTTAATAATCGTGCTGCAGAAGGTAGGGTTTAACAGGTCAGTCTGGTCCCAGATTGCTTGGGCTCCAATTCTGGTTCTGCCACTTCCTAACTGTGAAATCTCGGGCAATTACCGAACTTCTGTAAGCCTCAGTTTCCTCTCGTAAAATAGTAACATTAAACATTAGGGGCGCCTGGGTGGCTCAGTTGGTTAAGCGACTGCCTTCGGCTCAGGTCATGATCCTGGAGTCCCAGGATCGAGTCCCGCATCGGGCTCCCTGCTGCTCAGCGGGGAGTCTGCTTCTCCCTCTGGCCCTCCCCCCTCTTATGTGCTCTCTCTCTCTCTCATTCTCTCTCTCTCAAATAAATAAATAAAATAATCTTAAAAAAAAAGATATTTAAACGTTAGCTATTTAGTGTCTGCGACTATTTTAAAGCACTTTACATTTTAAAAATTCTCACATAGCCTGTGTATTCGCATTTTACAAGAAAGGAAACTAGGTTTGTTTTAAGAATTAAAAACAAAATAGGGGCGCCTGGGTGGCTCAGTCGTTAAGCGTCTGCCTTCGGCTCAGGTCATGGTCCCAGGGTCCTGGGAGCCCCACATCGGGCTCCCTGCTCAGCGGGAAGCCTGCTTCTCCCTCTCCCACTCCCCCTGCTAGTGTTTCCTCTCTCATTGTGTTTCTCTCTGTGAAATAAATAAATAAAATCTTAAAAAAAAACAAAAAACAAAATAGGTAAGTCACTTTGTGAAGTACTTGGAACATACTGGTTAGAAAATCTTAGCTATAATAATGGATAAATGTGACTTAATGTCATAATTTTAAGACCTCTGTTACAAATTGATTCATGAATCAGAGAAAAAGAAATCTTGTGAACTGAGGCACCTCAGTTTTTGCTCATGGGGTCGCTGTCATTGAGGGCGCACTATTCCTGGGAAGACCAGGCAGAATGCTGGCCAAAGGTAGCGGCATTTTGACAAATTGCAGTAAGGGACCCAGGTGGGGGGAGGGGAACAGCACTAGGTGTGCGAGGACGCTAAAATAAAATTCCTTTGGAACTTTCGCTGGGCCAATTCTTACTAACTTCTTCCCAAACGACTGTTCTGGTATATTAGAGGAGGGGATTGTGTCCTAGTAATACATTCAGTAAACGAAATGTCTACACAGGCTAC